CTAATGGCACTCTCAGTTTCCCACAGAAATCCTCAGTCCTTTTGTGCTCTCATTTCCCAGCCCTTCAGAGGAGGTTTGCATCCCCAGAGAGAGCTTGTGCAGCCTCAGAGACAGCCTCAGTTTCTATATTGAAGCCAAAATACTCTGGTCCTGGACTGCCCTGCTGCTTTCCTGCTTGTTCTCCCACCGAATCTACGTACTGGCCTGCACTAAGTGTCCTGCTTAGCGCAGATAAATGTTTTGTCCAGGTCCTGTGCGGTGTCACATGCGCTATGCCATGCCTAGATGATTGCAAAGGACCTATGGGTCGTGCGTGCGTTATCCTGTGCACCCTCTGAAGAAAGCAAATGACTGAGTCATACAGTTGCCTGTCTGATAGTCACCAAAGGATCCTGTGAGCACTGAAGCGAAGGTAAAGCTACCTCTGACTTTACAGCACAGGGCACAATCCCTGAAAGCATCCATGCTGAGATACTGATAAGTACCTAGCACAGTTCTGCAAACCCACAGCCCAAATCTTGTCCTGATGCTGAAATCTCTTCCTAATCCTTCCTCTTCCTTTTAAACAAGCGTCTTGGGTCACCTCTCAGCTGCTGAAACCCATCAGTGTGCGGGAGCCCTGCCTGGAGGTACTGCGCAGAACGGTGTTTGAGAGCCAGGGGAAGAGAGGAGAGAGCCTGGAAGGACTTTGGCCACTGCTGCCACCAGTTAGACACCACCTTGTTCCCTTCAAGCAGTGGAGGCTTGAACGCGTGCAGCTTCGTACGGTGCTCTTATCTGACTGTCTTCTGATCCTCTGCATACTGAAGTCAACAGCACAGCTGCAGAAAACCCAACGCTCTTGCCTCGCTAATGGCTATAAGATCCCGTTACTATCGCCTTTACCTTTCCAGCTCACGCTGCTGGGAGCGAGGGGGTCTCACCTGTCTGCCCGCCCGGGCTGAGCCGCGGGCTCTGGGAACAAAGCGCAAATGAGTCTCTCGGAAGCAGCCGTGTAACAGCAAAATGCCATAGAAACCGCAGCTGCTGTAGGGAGGGCCTTTTCCCCGGCATTATGCAATAGGTAATTATGTAAGTTGGCCTCACATAATATTCCTGGCTTTTTCGGAGCTCCGGCCTCCCCCTGGCAGAGCAGTGTGTGCCACGCTTTCCCCATGCCAGGCTTTATACAACCCAGGGCAGGACCCTCGGCTGCTCTCAGGGGTTCTTTGATGGTACTGGGGGGGAAAGGTTCATTCAGGAAAAAAAATCTGTTTGTCCCTCTGAATTGTTTTGCTGTGTAAGCACACAAGATGGTTTAGGTTGTTTTTTGAGGAAAATGGACTGGGGTTTGGACCATCTCTCTTTCCCCCTTGCTGGAGAGTTTATTTCATGAACTTAATTCAAATGAAAAAAAAAGTATGATTTCTACTAGCTCCCCTTTCTTGGGTACAGATGTCCCTACTTGCAGCAGGGAAGACAGAGCTAGAAATCATTGGTGATTTTTTACATTAACTGCCAAGGCAATGTGGGGGACTGCTGGGATCTCTGATGTTCACTTTACAGGCCAGGGATAGATTTCTCTCTTCACAACAGCGATGCTCTACGAAAAAAAAGTTGAATGCGGCCAAAAAGACTTGGAGCTGGTCCCTCCCTGTGTACAATTCCTACCGTGCCTCCCAGCTCCGCCTGGACGGCTGCGCCCTGTAATCATAACCACCAAACAGCTGGTGTTTCTAAAACCATACCCATGGGCCGGTCCTTGTTCTTTCACCGATGCTGTCTGTGGGCTCCAGCGAGTGGTAGAACTTTTTCGTTTCCTCATAAACGGGGAAAAAGGCTTTTCCATTTGCCGGGATGTGGCACGGTCTATATTCATGAATGCCTGTAGAAACATTTGCCGTCTGTTGAGGGAGGAGCAAAGCAGAGGTGAGATTGCATCCACCGTTCTACCAGAAATGGCTGTGCCTGTTAGACGGAGGGGACAGACCTTTCCCAAGCGTCTTTTGGTGACATTTTTGTGCAGAAACCAGCCCCATGCAGCCCCTGGGACAGCCTTCCTCCTCGGCAGTATCCTTAAGCTCAGCTGTGGCTCTGCAGCTGTCCCACGGGACGTTCCTCTGCCCCAGTCCCACCACCCCAGCCCTCTCCAGTGGTGAAGGCTGGGGGCAGGAGCAGCATCCTCCCCCTGCCAGTGACCTGCCACAGGGCTG